GCGCTCCTGTTTGGTTCGCTGTCCCTTTTTTCGGCCACCGTCTCAGAAATGGAGGCACATAATTGAGGTGGATAGAGAGGTGAGGCTGAAAGCCGAAATGATGATGTGCAGAGCACTCGGAGATGTTTTTCCCCCCTTTCGGTTATTTTCAGCCAGTGTGCTCCTCCACAGCAGGAGGACACACATCTGCATTAAAAAAGGGAAAAAACAACAACAATTTACTCTCCTTTTGTCTGAAATTCTGTACAGTGTGTGGCTTTTACGCCGGAGATTCTGAAAACTAGGAACACAGGTAGTCGGCTGGAGGGGTGAATACAGAAAAAGCAGATGTGGTGACAGAGTCTCCTGACTCCAGTGGTTCCGCGCATATATGAATACAGATAGCGGCGTGAAATCGGTGCAGATAAGGAGAAGTTTTGGCACAAGGTGTTGCCTTTAATCCTTCCCCTCGGCCCCCGTCCCTCACTGCATACAAACCACGTCCCACCGCTCGCTCTCACGCATTTCCACGCGTCTGCTCCCAACAATCACTTTGGCTGGCGTTTCCTTTTTTTTTTTTTTTGCAATTTCTTCTTCTCGGTTGGTCCCTCGCCCACACACTACTCCGGGGGCCGCGTGCCCTGCGTGGCTCATTACGGAGAGGCAGAGACTGGAGGCTGGTTTGCATATCGGCGCGCTCTCTCCCAGGGGTTCTTTCATTAAAAAAATTTTCCCAGGTAGGGTGCATTGGTTCCTTAATTTAGGTTTTTATCCCATCTGCCAGGACCCAGTCAGAGTTGTCAACACGAGCTACTCTGTTGACAGGGGTGTGGATTTTTTTTTTAAAAAGAGCTCAATCTGCAAGATGGGGATAATGCAGAATCCTCAGTGGCTCCTGAGGGAATGTTTTAGGAGGGATAATAAAGGTGACAGAGAGAACACTCGGGGGGGTTTCCTGCAGATAACGCAGTTTATTCTGCTCCATAAACTGTAATGCATCTGCTACAGAGTGGAACCAGGATTAAGTGTGCCTATGCATACTTTGAGGAAAAAACAATAAATGACCCTGTAAATGCATTAATGGATGTAGAAAGACATTTCAGAAGTGCTGTTGTCCAAATACAAAATAAGCAAAGCGGCGTGGAGCAAAATGGGGAAATGGTCGTTTTTTTTCATGTGGAAAAAACCTTCTCCGGGCTTGTATTACAAGTTTGAATTAAAGGCGCTCTGTGTGAGCCGTCGCCATCTCGTCAGCCTTAATTAGAAACCCAAAGTGGCGCCGTGCAGCAGATCCACGAGAAAAAAGGGGCCGTTCTTTGGCTTCCGCCTGCCTTGTCACTTCCCTGCGTCTTAGAGCTTAGGGCTCCAATCCCCGTCAGGAGCAGTGACCCGCGAACAGACCTGCTGTTCAAACCCCTCCCAGGAGAAGAAGCCTCCTCCAGATGTCGTGTGTCAGTTTGCGGACCACAGCTGGGGCTCGTACTTCTGTGTGATCGCAGAGAGAGAGATGTTTGTCGAGCTGGAATGGATAATCTAGTGAGCAAAAGACTGTTTCACGAAATATATTGACGACGTAGTAATAACGCCACAGAGCCGTTCCATAGTCTGTTTAAAAGGAAAGCCACAGCTTTCAGATAATGTAGCTGAATTCAAGGTTTTCCTTTTGAGTTGTATGTCCGTTCTGCCATAAACAAGGGGAGTTTACAATATATTTTTCATTTGGGCTCACTACATGCGACACGACCCTATTCAATTTTGAATGTAACCGAAACAAGAACCTGTTTGTTTAACTCTTGAAAGTAGGTTAAGGCCGAACGTCCCCTTCATTTTCCTCAGCCCTGCCTTTTCAGGGTGGTTAGCACGCCTTGAATTTGATTGATTCGTGTTTAGTTGGTAAGAAAACATCTTCATCCCAGTTGCCTGTCAAAAAAAGAAGACCAAAAACTAGAGCTACCGGAGCATTATTGTGAGATGAAAAATTCGCTCTGTGTCTCAGTTCTTCTTAAGGTGAAAGGTGTTAAGGTCAGAAAAATGGTCCATCACACAGCGTTGATGGAACATGGCGTGATGTAATTGGCTGCAACAGGAAGAAAAGACACGGATCAGGGTGTCCAAACGCTCACCGCTGATAAAGTTCATCTGCCCCCAGCAGCTCATATCATGTGAGGATGTGGGGGGCAGCCAGGAGGTCAAGTGGTCCTGAAGAGTTCAGAGGGGGAGAAAAAAACTTTCAGTGACACATCCAGTTACCTCCAGTTTGTGTTTGCGTGGGGGAAAAAGGGCAGTAACATAAAACCCACTGATTTTAAAGCTAAGTAAAACCCCTTTCCTTCACTACAAGTCAAGATTCGGCCATAAACAAAAAAATTGAAGCAACCCAGACGACAAGTGTGCCAGTTGAGGTTGAGAACTAGAACTAAACACAATCCTGATGGCGCTCAAAACCATAATGCGAACAACAAAGGATGGAAAAATGTGTGCAAACGTTTAAAGTCGAAACGGATCCCTGTATAAGAACGTAGAGCTTGGTCCACTGTAACCTACTCGGCCCCACACGGTTGTAGGCGGTTTTCCATTACAAACGTGTGGCCAAGTAGAAGGACACTCTGACCACACACAAGACAGCGATGAGGGACATGGCAGCAACTATACACCGTCGGTTTGTTGGTTTTACAGGGTTTGCGAGCACAGCGATAACAAAATCGGATGTTTGGAGGTGCTGAAGCCGTAACTGCTCAGTGGTCCCTAGCCCCTGCATTTTAGTATGAATAGAAAAGAAAGGCTCTCTCGGAATTGATCAGGAAATGATCTACCTTTGCTCAAGCGACTGGGAGACAGTCGAGCACAGCTCTCCGCTGACCTTCAGTCCAGAGCAAACCGAGAGGCTGAAAGAACCGAAGGAAAGAATGCAGACAAAATGGGAAAAACTCGGCGGTGAATCTCTGCCCAGTGAATAACCCAGAGCACAACCCCCCCCACGTGCTAGCAGCGCCACGCTGCCCATGTGCTAGTTCTGTCTCTACACACACAGACTACCGTATCAGTGACTCAAATTAGATTCTGCTCAATGACTGCTCAATAACAGCCAATCGTCCGGCTGCGATGGGAGCGCCTCCAGTCCATATTTCCATCGGAACGACCTCACTGACGATTAGGGGGAGAAAAAAAAAAAAAAAGCTAATCCAGCTAATTCAGCCGTTCCTTCTCCGCTGCTTATCCAGATGCTTAATTATGATGCTTCATACAGCTGGGAGGGACTTGACTCAAATGAGATAAACGAGAAGATGAGTTCCCCCGAACGGGCCGCGGCCCCGGCTCCCCCTTAATGTCCCGCTCAGTAGATTTTCCAATTGCGGCGTGTTTGGCATTAAGACGTCGTTAAGCGAGCTCGAATTACCCACCAAACCCTCCCCATGTGAAACCGTAGCGGCTCCTCCTGTTACTTGAATACGGAGACATGTGTTTTATGTTAACGTGACACATTCAAAAGGAGCCAGGAGTTGGAGTTTTCCTGTGAGGCGCAGAATGATGCTCCTCCAGGCCGGCGTGGATTGAAATGCATTATAGATGATTTGTCAGGATTAAACGGCTCGGCGTGATGGGGCAGAAGGGGGGGGGGGGGGGCCAGACGGCGTGACACGCTTTCATTCATTCCCGCCTCTTTATCAGAGGCCCGACACATCAAACGAGTTCACAGGCATGGGAGGACAGAGGGGGAGCTTCTCCTATGGTTTGTTTTTTGAGTTTCATGAAGAATAACAAGGGCGCCTGGTCTTTGGCCGCAGACCCCCCCCAGCCCCCACCCCCCCCAATCCCTCTGCATCAGTCTACCAACACATGTTCAGTTTTTTGAGGCAGCGGTGCATCATTCCCTGGAGGGGGGAAATGCCTGGGTGGTATTTTGACACGCTGTTTGCAGCTGACAGGTTCAGGATAATCACTTCAACACTCCCATGAAATTCCCTAATAAGCTGTTCGCTGAATGTCAATCCAGCTTTACCTGCGCGAGGTGTGACTGTGAATTCACGCGTTTTTTTCTCCCTTTCCTCTTCCTCATACATCGTCCTCCTCTTTTTTTTTTTTTCCTCCTCAACCCCCCCTCCTTCCTCTCCCGTGCACCTTGCTTGCCGATTTGACAGCTGTTGTTCTTAATTTTCTCCCCGGCTATTTTCAGAAGATCCATCTGGTGCTGCTCAGGGTGAGGGACTGATGGGAGCGGTGTTTGACATAAAAATGCTCGAAAAGCCCATCTGTGAAAAAAAAAAAAATAGTTGCATCTCTCTAAGGAGATGTATGGAGTCCTGCACGCCGGAACAAAAACAAACAAAACAAACAACACAAACGAGAAGAAAAGTTTTGCCCCCTCCAAGTACAAAGCTCATTGGCTTGCACTTCTCTGTTCAGTTGTGGGAGTTTGCGTGGAAGGAAAGTGGAAATAAGGGATAGTGGAGAGGGCACACCTCTCTCCAATTTACCTCAGAGCTGGAAGCCTTAACTCGCCGAGTCCTTTTGTGGAAATAATGGGCCGAAAGCAGCTCAAACCAGATTTGATGGCAGTTGAGGAGGAGTAACCAATCGCTCTGAAGAAGAAACATTTCCTCTCTCTTTCTCTCTCGGCACATATCAAAGCCTGCTTCTTTGTGGATGTAGACAATGGAAGAAAGCCGACCTTTATCTATCAGATGTTTTTATTTCGGCTCCAACTTCTTTCTTTCTTTTTTTGTTCCACCCACTGTCTTACAAATTGTTTTGGGTTTTTTTTGTGTGTGTGTCAATATCACGCTGTGGGCGGTTTGCTTTATTTCAGCTTTCAAGTTTATCTTATTCCACATTAGAAAATAGCTTTTTTCCCCCTTTTGCTGTATTCATTCCTAACAGAGCTGTTCCTCCATTTTTTTCATCTGCCTTTACTTGTCTTGTGCATCGCCTTGTTTTCACCTGTATGTTTCGGGTTTTTTCACCTCCGAGGGGGTAAACGACAGCTCTAATCCTATCGATCCAGAAGCCCGATCCCTCCTAATCCTGTAACTTGGATGGCAGAGGAGCCCGTGGCAACAGCTTAATACGTTCTGAGCCAACCCCGTGAGCCCTCCAGAAGTGTTGGTCTCAATACGGCCTGAGAGATGAGAAGAGTCAAAAGGGGCACATCCTGCTTTTCTTTCCTTTTGCTTTTTTTCCTTTATTTCTTTATTTATTTTTCACGAGGGTCACCAGGCCTTTATTGTAGACTGGCAACAACAGAACACAGGCAAAGCCTCCGGGAATGAGTCAGCCTGACATCCCTCACCTGCCTTTTCTCACCTCATTTTGTTGGTTGTTTGGGGTTCTCGCGCTCCGTATCTCACGGGTTTTTTACTCCCCCCGCTGTGCCCCTTCCATTTACTCTGCCTTTACAAATCTGCTGTTTTAGTCTCCGTCCTTTCCTTCCTTAATTTTCAGCCTTCTTTTTTTTTTTTTTTCACACTGGCTTATTGCTTTTTCTTTGTCGGCCCCCCCCTTTCCTGCCGTCGTCCAGCTGGCTGAGGCCAGAGGCACGTGACGATGCGCTGCTCGTCTATGCCGGTTAATGACACTTTCAGGCGTCCCGTGATGCACATGGAGGCGGATGCTGGGCCCAGTGCCGGCCCGAATCGGCGGGTAAAAAGCCCCCCCCCCCCTTTGGCAGCGCCGCAGCGGAGGTGACATCACCCGCTCTGGATGACAGCACCTGCCTCCCACGCTCTGTCACCGCCATCGATTTCCACTGTGAATGCTGTTAAAGGAGGGGGGGGGGGGCTGGGGGAGGCACAGATTTAAGACATAGACTGAATGAACTTGGCGGCGTGGTCTAAGCGTGCACAGCCCAGAAAAGATCATTGGTGTATTTTAGATGGAGCAATCTATGAGTTGGAAAAATACAACCGATGTGAACAGATGCCGACCCCAGCGAGCTGGAAATGACCCATTTTATGCCCCAAAAAAAAACGTTTTCATTGTACAGTCAAACTTTGTGTGACTCTGTTCCCGGCTCTGATTCCAACTCCCGATGACATTTGAATGCAGCTTTTAGAAAAAAAAATTCCAAGACCTAGATATGACAAAAAAAGAAAATAACTAACGTTTAACTGCAGATGCCTCCAGTAAAAGCAGGCTGAAATTGGACTTGAAGAGCTGCACACGTCCGGAGGGGAAAAGCCACTTAGGTTTGACACATTTGTGAATTGCTCACAACTTACTTTCCGCACATCTTAAGCCATTAGGCATTTTAATTGCCTTTGCTCGAAGAGAAGCGATAACTTTGGACTCCAACAGGTCTTTTTCACCGAGAGTGCAGATGTTTTATTGCTGCAAAGAAGGGTTCCTAAGGCAACCACATCCCGCCATCCTTTTGTCTGGCAAAGTGTGAGCCATGCTCAGCCAGTTGCCTCAACAATAGAAACAAATTATATTGCTTTCCGTCATGGCTTGATTCCTCTTCCTTTGTCATCGCTAAATAATGGCGTGGCAGGCTTCACGACAAATGGTACGACCCTACGCGGTGGAAAACAACGGCTCTCT